GAAACAACATATCATTTATTCTGAAACATTTTTTAACTGCGACTTTGCCATAATGTATAGTACATTCGACTATACCACATAATTTGCACTTGTTTACAAGCCATACCTAATTTTTCAACATGCCAATGATTGGATCTCGAGAAATACCCCTGACACTACATGCTAAGAAAGGACAAGCCCGGATCGTACATTGCAAATGATAAAGGTAGAAATGGTATAAGACAAGAATAATCACTTTAGGAATATTATATGGCCCTAGCACATGGTCTGAGATGGGCATACATAGTCATGTCTCTAAGCTTCACCCATAGATCAACACATAGACCCTCATTAAAGGCCATCCAAACCCAATATTTTTTAGTGTATTCTAAGCTCAAGCTTGTAAACCTCTTACTATAATACTCCATCCGTCTCGCAAAAAACTTTCCAATTTGACTTTTGTAGTTGACTTTTCAAATATGTCATTTGATGCGATAAATAAAGTAGGATGTGATTGGTAGATTAATAGAGGAAAAGGGTAATGTGATATGTAGGTTAATAATTAATAGGGGTAAAAGTGACTTTTTAATAGAAACGAGAAGAGTTTTTTGGGACGGATGAAAAATCAAATGAGAAAGGTTTTGTGGGACAGAGGGAGTAATAATTAGGCAACAAGTCTTCCATTCACAGTCTTCTTGGTTATTTTGCGTTCAATGTGTTAATTAGCTTCTCGACTCAACTTATCGCCCCAAACTTGGACTAGAACTTCGTTACCCGGTTAGCTAATTTACACCATAAACTTTAATATTCATTGTAGTGAAATGACGAAATGGAGAAAGAAGGGGCTGAGGTTGGAGTAGGAGTGTTAGGGGGATAAGAACTGCTTTGTAGGCCCTTAGAATTTATTTATTTTTGTTTAATCATCTATTAAATACTAAGACAAAATTATTGTAATGCATTTATACTCCGCATTCCACCATAAAAATGTTTGTATTATTACTCATATGATCAAATTTTATTATTTTTTGTTTAATTTTGTTTAATCCTTTATAAAACACGCAGTAATATAGTTTGTCACATCTTGATTTGTATGACTCTTGATATAATTTTTTAATATTTAATTTTAGTATTTAATTTTGTGTCAATCATTAAATACATTTAAAGAATAATAATTTCAACCTAATATCTTAAACGATTATTATAATTTTCTTGAGAGACTAAAAGAGCATAAAAACTAAGGTAAAAAATTTGTATTGTAATTGGACATCTCTTTTTTTTTCTTTTTTTTAAGTGCTGGACACCTATTTATTTATTATAGTCATGATTCAAAAGGTGAAGTTTTTTTGAGAGTAAAAGTATGGATCTTGGGATTAGGCCTTGGAACAGTTGGATAACTGGATCTTTGATTGTGCTAGAACTTCCCGGTCATATTTATCTTGGATCAGGCCTGTATGTTAGATAAAGGGGCGTTGCACTAATTGGGCCTTATAATGAACTCTTTAAGACATGCGTGACCAGCCCATGAAAAACTAACCTAGCGATAGATATAAGAGTCATTTTCTACCTCTTCAGTCTAGGGTTTGCTAACAGGTATCAAACTCCGCAGCTACGTTCGCCGGAAAATTCCTCCTCCCCGAACGCCGGAGCAGCAGTCATGGTAACAGATTTCACTCTCTTCAATCTGCGTTTCCTTTTCTGTGTATAGAAATTTGTTCGCCGATCTATTTTGTTGATTTTTTTTGCTTGTTTTAGATCATTTCGGAGAAGAACCGCAGAGAAATCTCCAAATACCTCTTCCAAGGTCAGTAGTTTTCAATTTACCTGTATTTGAATTTTAAGCGCTTGCATTTGTCTAGATTTGATGTTGAGATTCTGGTTTATGTTTACTCATTAGTGGTTAATGTGGCGTGTGCTGTGTGGTCTGTAATGTTCGTGTAGAGGGGGTGTTGTATGCTAAGAAAGACTATAACTTGGCGAAGCATCCATTGATTGAGGTGCCAAATCTGCAAGTGATTAAGCTGATGCAGAGCTTCAAGTCGAAGGAGTATGTCAGGGAGACCTTTGCTTGGATGCACTACTATTGGTACCTTACCAACGATGGCATTGAATTCCTCAGGACTTATCTCAACCTTCCATCCGAGATTGTCCCTGCAACTCTCAAGAAGTCTGCAAAACCCTTAGGAAGGCCCATGGGCCCTCCGGGTGATCGTCCCCGGTAATTTGCTTGCCTTAGGCTATTAATGTGAATGTTTTGGTGCTTTGTTGCATAATGTTTGTGATCTTTGGAAATGTTTCCAGTGGACCACCTAGATTCGGTGAAGGGGAGAGGAGAGACAGGGATGGGTACCGTGGTGGCCCAAGAGGCCCACCTGGGGAATATGCAGGGGAGAAGGGAGGAGCTCCAGCTGATTACCGACCAGGATTCAATGTAAGTTTTCACTTTTATCTTGGGTGTACATATTCTGAAATGTGTAGTTTTTATAATGTATGGCGTTTTTATACTTAAGTTTAGTTATTTCTCCATTGTCTGCTCAATTTGGAGTAATCTCATTTGCTGCTAGTTATGACACCATCTGCATAATGTTCTATGTCCCTTGGAAGGCAGACTTAATGAATCATAGATAGTTTCGGGTAACTCTTCTTGGTAATTGTTAAGAGCTATACTCAATTTATTGGATCTTAGATTCAATTTCATGCAGCTGTATCTTACAAAGATAACATTAGAGATTTAGAGGTTTATTCGCAAAGATTGTCGGGATGTCCCAAAAAACACACTGCTATCCAATTTACGTCTCTTATATGTTCATGTGTTCTTCACTATTGTGTGTCCATTAATAAATCTTTATCCATTCTTAAAGATTATGATACTAGTAACTTTAATTTTAGGCTGATATAGGATTTGTATATTTAAATATACGACCAAATGATTTTCATGGATATTTCTTCTCCATTATTTAAATGTTTTATCTTGGTCAAAATAGCATTTTTGAGAGAATCCGGGAAATAACCTGCACAGGACGGAGCTATAATTTTTGTTTTTATTGATAGGAATTTGACTTTCTTCTATTCTCATGTGCTCATTTTGGCCCTTGTATATGTTCTTGGTGTGTATTTCACAAAGTTTATGAATTTTTTGAAAAATAAACAGTTATTTTTTCCTTAAGCCAATGAGAAAAAGAAGTAAGATTATTTTGGGATAGGCTTTAGAAATAAAAGGGTAGTCAGATCTTAGTGGGATGGAGGAGTATACTGTTTAATTCTCTTTGTTCACCTCAATTTTCATTTAACTTACAGAGTGGAGCTGGTGGAAGGCCTGGCTTTGGACGTGGTTCAGGAAGCTTTGGTGGTGCACCCCCAAGCTAAACCATTTTGTTTGTGTGTTTTTTCATTAGCCATTGTGAGTTAGTGAATCTAATCAGACTTTTTGAAATTTCAAAGCTACATTTGGCTCATATATTTATCCCTTTGTTGTTTTGGAACACATTGTGCTGTCTGTTGCGAAAGTATTCGACATTACTATTTTCTGCTCCTAAATTATGTTGCCACATAAATTGCGTTCCAAAATGGAAAAAATTCATCCCTAATGCACATCTCATTTGGAGCTGATTGAAATTAAAGTTTTCTGAGGGGAATTCTAATGATTTTGGGATGTATTTGATACTTCTAAAATGAAGTTTCTTGTCAATGTATAGTTTTGATTTGCCTTTTTTTGTGTTAAAATTTATACTCTGTGAAGAGAAATTATTTTAATTTTACATCAAATTTCATATTGAATTGTTATGAATTCTTTTGAAGTACTGGGATTGTGATGGAATGTCTTCCCATTGTTTCCAAATTAAATTCCAACTTTCCAGTTTTGGCTATAAGAAGTTTGTACTCCGTATTTTCATTACCTATGCCTCCCAATAACACTTTGCACCTTTTTTTTAACTACTCTATTCATTGTAACATCAATCTGTTTCTAATAAATTTATTTTTACTAGATAAATTTTTCTTTTATCATTCAAATTACCAAGTTATATATTACTCCATATTTACCGATTTCAATCATTCCTAACAATTAAATAAGTCATTAAATACAGATTATTAAATCGTAATTGTAATTTTATATTTAATTTGAAATAACAAATTTCATAATTAGTTCTTTATTTGAGGGGATTTTCCATATTTAGTCTTCTCTAATCAAATACTATTATATAAATGGTTCTTTTATAAGTATCTCTCATCAAATATTATTTTTATTTTCTGTCTGGTGTTAATTTGAAGGCTAAAAATGGAAATTCATAAAGATCATATAGCTTTCTTGTCATCTAGAATTTCAAAGGCCACTTTTAATGCGTGGTTTGTTAATCTCAGTCGCTTTCTATTACAACTATAGTCTGCAAATGTGGTCTTTGTTGGAATAATAGTCGACATTCAAAGTCATTATTATTGTGCTTTCTATCTAACTGACATCAGAATTCATTGGCCATACAGTTGATATAAAATTAAACTTTAAGCCTTCAGATTAATAACATGATAGGTCAAAAAAATGATTTTGTGAAAATATATCCATAAAATGACCATAAAGGTAATATTTGATAATAGATGACTAAATATGAAAAAATTCCTTTTATAAAAAATTAATTATGGAATTTTTTTTTAAAATAATTTTGACTCATACCTCGAAAGTTTATATAGATTCGGAATTTTTGTTGTTAGTCTTATACCCTAGAACTATTTTTGCACTCTTTTGATTGGATTTGGCCCCATCTAAATTATTGTGAAGTATTTGACCTTAGTCTAAGTTCTCATTTAAGAAAAGAATTCCAAAATACTCTTTTTGTCCCGAGTTTAGTTTTTGTTTCACTATATGGAGGTTTAGAAAAGTGTGTAAAAAATTTAAAGTGAATGATTAAAATTGATTTAAAAGAAAAAAATTTTTAGGTCACATATTCTTTACTTTATTATGAAAGTATACAAGTGAGAAATTTTTTTAGAGACCGGCTGAAAAAGAGAATGAGAGGACTAATTGGAGAAAGGAGTAACTGATTGCTTGATTCTAAGAATCACAATCAACCAAAAGAAAAACGCAAAGCAAATGAGCCCTAAGAGCAGCATCCTTCACATTTCCACTTCCAATTACCCTAATGCACCCACAACATATATACACACAGGTGCAGACAGACATGGCTTTCTCCAATCTGTTTTTGGGGGAGACCCACAACAAAAGACACACAATGACCTTTAAAAATTACCCTTCTAAGTTCTAACAACAAAACATGGTCCAAAACCACACATCATGTTACCTAGCCACTACTTGCTACTACTGGGCAGATCCCACATTCTTTCTCAAAGACAGACGGCGTTTCGTTGCATCCCACTGTGACTTCAAATCCTCCATTTTTTTCTTCGCGGTCTCCACCTCGGCCTCTTTTCCTTCAACTTTCCTGCCCTGCTCCTCGGCGAGAGAACACACCTTCCTAGTCAGCTTTGACACTTCCCCTCTTTCCTCCCTCAGGTGTCGCCGGTCGCATTCAATAGCCTCCATCTGAGCTTTCAAGTCCATTTCTTTCTTACTCAGGTCCTCCAGTTTAGCTCTTATCCCATCCTCAGTCTTCAGAAGATCCTCCAGCAAACTTTTCGTCTTCTCAAAAGCAGTCCAGAGATGATCACTCCCACCCTTCACTTTAACAGACTCTCTCCATTCCAGCATCATCTGAGGAAATGTGGCTTTCAGAGCCATGATTTCTTTGGCCTCTCCATTGCTGAACAATGAAAGATTATTGTTCAGTATGGAGAGGGCCTCTGACATTGCAGTCTCATGCTTGGGATCAGCCAAATCGTCTAAAGGGTATGATATCAATTTGTCAAAGATTTCTTTTGCACAAGCTGCACGGTCTTTACTCGAAGGAAGTTCAGGTGAACATATAGCATCAGATACTACTAAGCTGGATGATGGTTTCTTGGGTAGTGATTTGAGAACAGACTGAACCCTGGCATACACAGATTCTACTGGATCTAGACCAACAGAAGAATCCATAACCTGTTCGGAAAAAGAAAAATCTTTTTTAGAAATCAGGGGAAAAAGAGAAAATATATGGATGCAGGATTTAACTTAAGTTACCTGATCTGGGGGAGCAGGGGAAGTATTAGCCACACATGGAGAAGGATCAGGCACATAGACCTCAGCTTCAATCAAGCACATATCATTAACAAGAAAGCCTCCGACTTTATCATGAAACTCACGAAGTGGGACGAACAAATTGAAGCCCCAATCACTCTCGTGAACATTGAATGTGTGTTTTGTCTCTGAATAAATGATGCAGGGAAGCAAAATGATCAAAACAACAACCAAAGAGGGAGAAAAGACAGAATATAAATGTTGACACATCTCTCATTGTACATGAACAAAATACCTTTCTTGATGGTTTTCTTGGGATCTATCTGGTTAACAAGAGCAAGACTGAACTTTGTAGGTATGCGCCAATCAATGGGTAAAGTTGACGGGTCAGCCACACCAAGGTACAGAGACAAATGACCTCCATCGTTTCCTTTTGAATAAAGGAGCAACCTCCTGCAGAAACCAAAAAAGAAGTGAAAAGAAAGAAAGAACTTGAGGCATGGAACAATATTTTTATGCATTAATCTCCGATTGGCTTTTTGCACTAATCTCTGATTTGGAGGTGGGGGGGCATACCATTTGTACTCATTAACATCATACGTCCTTGAGTAAGGCTTTTCAGCATCCAAACGCGAGAAGTGTTCAATCTTCCACGTAAACTTTGACATCAAACAATAGTTGCTTTGCTTAGTCTCTGAAACATTGACACATTCCTTTGTTCATCATATATATAAAACCAGCCAATCAATCCCAAGACCAACTAGAACAAGGCAAGTAAAAAAGTACTACCATTCAGGGAAGGAATTTCAACTGTTTACCTCTCCAGTTAGAATGGCAGCCAAATAAAATGTAAAACTACCTCATAAATATATATATCAAGAAGCACACTTAACCCTCCAAAGCCCAACTCCCAAACTAACCATTATTGTGACAATAGGTTAGGTGGAACCGATTTTACAAACAACAGATACATGTTATTCCCTTGTTCAGTTTCATAATCTAACCAATAATGTTTCATGACGAATACACGTATTTTTCGTCATGGCATACAAGTATATATTAATAAAGGCTTCATCATATATCATAGAAACATACACCAAGACAAGGGCCTTATATACTCAGTATACTGGAGTTGGATAGTAACAATGTTTTTAATCTTATTACCCCGAAATCAACTGAACACTCACAAAGAAGACATTGAAGTAGATTTTAAATTCTTTGAAAGAAAATCCTTTCCTTTTCAAGGCATAATTTTCACCAAGTAAATAAATCTGTACATGGGAGCGTTTGTTTCAAACAGATTTGGAGCCCCAAATCGAATTCACATTCCATTTCTAGGGTTTCTTGCTAAAGATTTAGACTAGGCATGGGTTTTTGGTACTGGGGAAATGGGAAAACTGAGGGGAAAAAACGAGGAGGAAGAAGAAGTACAGCATAAAAAACCTGTTTTTGGTGAGGTCAATGTCGTCACCCTCTCGCCATTATCAATCTCGCTGGATTTCCTCTTCCCCGCCATGCTTGAGTTCAACCCTTGAACGATTTGTATAAATCTTTTGCTCGAGGGTGTACTAGACTACTACTACTACTACTACTGCTACTACTTCTTTAGTCTATGCTTGGACAGAGAGGCGGGGAGACGGTGACGGTCTCGGCGGAGCCGCCGCGGAGGCGGCGCGTCTCATTAAGGGGCGGAGGGGGAGTGAGGACGGTAGATGGAGAGCGGTGACAGAGAGGCAAGGAGGAGAATGTGTGTTTTGGGAAATGCGGAGCAGCAGCCGTGGCGGTATCGTGACCCACATTTGGACTCTACTTCTACGGTTATTCGGCCAAATAGGGCTGGTAGGAATGTTTTGCAAAAACATGCACCAATGCCCCGATCAATTTCTGACCATTTTTTCGTCAAAGAAAGTGAGCATTGGTGCATATTTTTTAAACCATAGAGGTATTAGTGATGATTTTTATTTCTCGCAAATTTTTTTTCATTTTTCCTTTATTTGTTTCATTTATTAATAAAAATTTTTTAAAATTATTTTTATAATATTCTTAAAATGTAAAGCTATTTTTGTTTGAAAAAATTAACATATAATGCATATGTACGTCTCAAATTAACAATTTTTTGTTTTTTATGAAAATAAGTAATTTTTTTTGAACCCCAAAAAAATGAGGAATAAAATAAGAAACAAATAATACAAAAATAAAAATGAATGTCCTTTTTGGACATCTCAATTCTAAGGACTTTTTTAGGCGTGTCCAATTTTTTTTGTATAAGACTTTTTTTGCCTATTTTAATTTTTTCATTTCGATTTTCCATATCTTATTTTTTTATTCTGGGTTTTTTAACTTTCCAAAAAATTATTCGAAGTAACAAAAAGTGAGAATGTTTAATTTGAGATAGATGTAATGTATGCTAATTTTTTATTTCTATTTTTATTTCAAGCACAAAGATATTTAAAATTTTTGAAACATTATAAAAAATTGATAACATATCTTTAAAAAAATCTAGGAAAAGGAAAAAGAGATAGAAAATATTAAAAAAGGGAAAAATAATAAATGAAAATAAGAAATGAGCACGAATGGCCCATATGGTTTAAAAATTATGCGTCAATGCACCCTCTTCGCCGGAAAATGGCTGGAAAATGATCAGAGGGGGTGTGGGTGCAACACGTTGAAACCACAGGGACTTTAGAAATAAATTTTGAAAACAGAGGGGGTATTTGTGCCAATTTTTCAAACCACAGGGGCATCGGAGCTATTTGGCCACAGTTATTCAATAGTAAATGTACTCCCTCCGTCCGAAAATGATCCTATTTGACTTTTCATGTTTAAATTTTGTAAACTTTGACTACATATGTGAGTAAAATAAATTGTATTATGATATAAATTTAAAATGTAGTTTTGAAATATAAAATTATTATAAAATATATCTGTGTATAAATATAGATATTAATAGCAAAATGCAATATTGGAGATCGTGAAAAGTTAAATGGGAAGAATATTTCCGAACGTAGAGAGTAATACTCATACTCCCATTTCTCTAAAACATTTATTCTTTCATTTTCTTCTCATCCACGAAAATACTTTTACTTTTTATTAAAATAGCACTTTTACCTCAACTTTTTTTTATCATATCTATCACATCATACTTTTTCTTTAATAATCTATCTATCACATCTTACTTTTATGCATCATATCAACTACTCCGTATAATTTAACACTTCTTTATTTTGATACTTGATTAAAATGAGAATTGTTTTCAAGAACGGAAGAAATACCAGCTTCCCACACAATGTAGCTAGGGTTTTGTTCAATGTTAGAGTAATTTCATGAAAGGTTTAATGTTGAGTAAATTCTATAATTGGTCCTTTATAACAGGAGGTTTCTCTATTTAGTCCTCTATTATCAAATATTATCCCAGCGGTCCTTCTTTTATGAGTACCTTTCCACAAATAGTCCTTTTTTTGATCTTTTATCATGTTGGTGTTAATTTGAGGGCTAAAAGTGTAATTTTACAATGATAATATATTTTTTTTGTCATATACAATTCCAAAGGCTGTTCCGTTTGCGTCATTTGTGAATTACAGTCACTTTTTACGACAATGATAGTCTATAAATGTGATCTTTCGTTAGAATCCTAGCCCACAATCATAGTCATTATTTTTGTGTTATCCGCTTAACCAATATCAGAACACGTCACTAGACATAATGTTGATGTCAAATTATACTTTTAGCCTTTAAATTTACACCAACACGACAAAAGATAAAAAAAAGACCATTTGTAGAAAGGTACCTTAAAAAAAGGACTATGAGGACTAAATATGGAAATCTCCATGTTATAAAAGATCAATTATAAGTTTAAGAGGGGTGTTAGGGAACCCCGCCTAGTATACACAAAGTGTAAATCAAAACAAAAATGGAAATACACCGACACACTCTTTGTGCATTTATAAATATTGAGTGGCTATGTGTAGATATTTTTTTACTTGGTGTACACCAAGTGAGCTTTCGTAAGTACGGAGTATTATTGTAAACTTAAAGATAAATAACTACTCAATTGGAAAGAATTTTATAAAGCGCTGTGACACTTCCAAATGAGAGGTTACTAGTTTAAATTTCAATAAAAGAAATCACCCTAAATAAGAGTAAAACATAGAGAAAGTATCATAATAGCAGCTCCATATTTTTTCTTAAATAGAAATTTGTAATGTAGTAATGCGACACTGTATATGATATTTTATACTCCTTCCGTCCCCCAGTTTTTGTCCACTTTCATTTTTGCACACCATTCAATGCACTTTTTTAATCCATTATATCTTGTAATTTGTATATTAAAAAATTATAGAAATTATATATTACTCCGTAATAATCTATACGTTAAGACAAATCAAACAAGATCACAAATGACTATATTTAGGCTTACACATTGAGAGAATTGATGAGTCAAAGTGCTTAGATTAACAGTTCCAAAAGTCAAAAGTGGACAAAAACTGGGGGGACAGAGGGAGTGATACTTTTTGGTAATGTATATGGTAATGAATGATACTGTAAATGCATTTTAATTCCTATTTCGAGAATAAAAAACATGACACTTTTATTTTAGTATATTTTCAATATCTTATTCTTATTTACGTCTTTTTTTCCCAATAGTAACTTTATATGCTTTAATACATTAAAATAAAAATACACAATTTGTTTTACAATAATCAATCAAATAGGTAATGATAACCATGACTAAAATACAAAAGGATGTTCCAAAACAAAAGCGTTCAAACGAGTTCAGGACAAAGCAGAGGGACCGGGTTAGGGGCTGAAGATTCTTTATATATCAATGGTAATGAAATGATTTTCCAAAAACTTGTGCAAATAAATTTGTTTACATCAATTTTGTGCTAGTATATACTGTAATATGTTTTTATTTAAACAATGATCAAAGATAATTAATACTCCGGGGTAAAATATTTTGGAAGAGAGGTAATTTCTGAGTAGAATTATTCCACGGCTCAAAGGATGATGGGCTTCATGACACCAATTATTGGCATAATAAGAATCGACAACTGGTTTCACGAGTAATATTTACTATTAGCGGACCCGATTAATTAATGAAGGTGTCCAAACAAAGTGCTCCCCCAATGCCCAATGGTCCGAAGGATCTAACACTGTTCCTTTGGTGGGAAGTGTTGGGGTAAGTGAGATAAGAAGATAAATGATCCAACCAATGTTTCTTTTTTAAAAAAAAGAAAGATGAGCCCCGTCCTCTCAGATCCGGTTGGACGGTCACCGAAAGAGTGAAAGGAGGTAAATTAGATTTTTAATTGGTAGCAGGAAGTGAAGTCTGTACCTGATAGTTGTAGTAGTTTTATGCTTAACATAGTTGCCTCCAGCATAGTTGCTTGAAATCAAATTCCGATTTACCCCTTGAAACTCCCTACCTTTGCACAACACCTAAAAGATGTTTCTTTATTATTAAATGCAAAAGTCTTGTCAAGTTACTATTTTAACTTTAAATACTCCATTGGTTTGCAATATACTCCCTCCCTTTCTAGAAGACTGTTTCTTTATGAGATTTCATTATAAAGATCATTAATCTCTTATTTTCCTAAAATTAATTTTGTTTCATAAGTTTTTGTTTCAGAAATTTAATAATAAAAAAATTATCACAAAGGCACTAAAGTATTTAGTAACCATAGTTATTAGTCCAATGTGTCAGTTAACATGATTGGTTGTGGTTCATCTTTTATAGATACAATGGTTAGTTTTGGTTCTATCCAACATAAAGGCACTAAATAGACTCATAAAGTATTTATAGTATTTATAGGGACCAAAATGTGAGTAGTATTAGCTCCCAAAAGTTTGTGTCCAACAAAAAAAAACCACATCCTAAACAAACTTCAAATTAGACAAAGCCCTACATGTGGAGTGAATAAAAACCATCCCATTTTTTCTCAAGAAAAGAGATGTCTGGTTGCAACCCACTTTGATTTCAATCTATACTCGAGTGTTTTGTTGGCGCGTTCTACCTCCGCCTCTTTTGCTTGAACTCTGCTAGACTGCTCCTTAGCAAGAGAACAAAGTATCATGGTCTCCTTCGATACTTCCTCTCTTTCCTCCTCGAGTATTCGACTATTTCTCTTGATCGCCTCAAGTTGAGCTTCCAATTCCTTTTCTTTGTTATTTAGATCCTTCAGCCTTTTCCTTATTCCCTCTTCGGTTTTCACCAAGTCTCGGATCAAACTCTTGGTCTTCTCATGAGTAGACCAGGGATGCGCACTAGTGTCCTTGACTTGGACTGAGCCTCTCCATTCTTGCACTGTTTGAGGAAATGTGGCTTTCAGCTTCACAATCTCTTTGAATTGCAAATCACTAAACAAATCAGGGCGGTCGGTCAGCATAGACAGACAATCCATCATTGCAGTTTCATACTTGGGGTCAGCTATATCATCCAATGGAAATGATATAAGTTTGTCAAAGATTTCTTTCACAGAAGTTGCAGCACAAACCTGACAATTACAGATTTACAGACAGAAAGTTTAAGAAAAGATCATGTACGAAACAGAACATAAACCTAGCCAATGGCAAGCAATATCAAAGTTTATTACTTCATCTGAGGAAACTGGAGAAACATAAATTTCACTTATTTCAGCTTCAAGCACACATGTGTCTTCAACAAGATAACCTCCGATTTCATCATGAAATGCACTAAGTGGGACAAATTCAGCCCAGCCCCATTCACTTTCACCAGAACTGAAAGTGTGTCTGGACGCTGCACAATGCACGAAAAACATTGAGTGATGAAGAGGCAAAACTGATGATATTAAGGATCCCAAAACAATGTAATGTATTTGGTACAAATTAAGAACAACCAACCGACGAACAAAGGAACGCGAAATACGAATGCCATCCACAGAAATACCTCTCGTGATGGTTTCCTTGCAGTCTATCTGATTAACAAGAGATATACTGAACTTTGTTCGTACCCAAGATGAATCAAGCACCACCAGTTCCAGGTACACTGACAAATGATCTGTGCCGTTTCCTTTCGGATAAAGGGACACCCTCCTGCAGAAGCCAGAAATGCAAAAAACTCATCTTGTGACAGACAAAGTAATTCGCTAGATCAAACAATAACATCTCTCAGACTCATCAGACTAGTGGCAAACCAATTGTTCCCATTCGCAACAAAAGGGCGAGAGTGTAGTCTCTTAACATCCAATTTAGAGAAATTTTCGATCCTCCATGTGAATTTGGACATCTCAGATTATCCGGCCTTTTGGTTTTGGTTCGTCTCTGGAAGCTTTTACCCACAATTGAGACAAAACAATCAACCAAAATTGAGACAAAACTGAGACAAACAACCAAAATTGAGACAAAACAATCAACCATTACAAGAAAGACATCATTAACATCTTAGCAGTTCTTCTAACCTAGACAAACAAGTTCTTCAGTTCGAATTAAAACAGGTTGTGTGGAGGATGGTGTGGAAGCTGACCTGCCAGAGGACTGAAGGCTGAGAACAAAAGCTTTGAACCCCACGCGAGACATTTATTTTCATAGCATAGAGAAGCTGAATGGCCTCCGCAAATCTTTGTAATAATGGATTAATGGCAACGCCGGACAAACCCTTCTTCTTCACCCCTTTATAGACAGGAGATAGTTTCATTATTTCAAAATGTTGGGCTACACCAAAATTGTACACAGTTCCTTCATCCATTTTTTTTGTTCGGAATTCAATACCTAGATAAAAAATGTATACAAGAAAAGATAGCGGTGTATAATTTGAAGTACAATTTATTGTACTCAAGTGTGACTCAATCCATTTTCCTTCAAATTCTTAAAGCAGCACATAATAAACTAATCTTTCTGATTTGATTTAAGAAAAAAAATATTATTCGTAAAAAATGTAATTAAATTTTTTAAAAACAAATAAGTAATAGAAAAATGACAAGACTGAGGAGTATGAGAATGTACTTTAAAATGGCCAAAAAGTGCGTAATTTTATTTTGAAACAAATGACGTACGGATTATTTTTATTATTTACCATGACCCTTGCTAATTTTATTTGTTTCTCGTTGCAAATAAAAGCTCACATACTCGCATTATGTGAAATAGAAGGGAATTGTTGGGACGTGCATTGTTATACTCCATGTAAAAGCCATCCAAATTCCAAATATGTAATACGGAGTATATCTATTGTACATGTGATATACATATTTTCAAATTACATAATACCGAGTATTTATTTTGTACACTTTTTTCAATCCATGAAATCATAAAAATAAAATTGCAGACAAAGTACAACATTTTTACACATTTTCAGAGCATGCACCCCAGAAAACTAATTGGGCCACAATCTCTACAAGAGAAACAACTAAAGTAACAAAAAACAGCAGTCTTGAGAAACATCTCCAAAAGACATCCACAGAATGCCTTCAAATTAGATAAAGACTTGGTAAAAATGTAAGAATATTATAAAAAATAATGGTGTATGGGAAACTGGGTGTTATTGTCCATTTGTCCATCCCATTTTTTCCTTCTCAGCCAATTCCAAAGAGATGTCTCATTGCAACCCATTTTAACTTCAATCTCTGCTCCAGCAGTTGGTTTGCACTGTCCACCTTAACATTTTTAAGTCCGATTTTGCTAACCTTGTCCAAAGCAAGAGACCAAAATATCTTCATCTGCTTTGAAATTTCCTCTCTTTCCTCTTTGAGTAGTTGACTCTTGCTTTGGATTACCTCCAGCTGAGCTTCCAATTCAGTTTCTTTCTTGCTTAAATCCTCCAGTTCAATCTTTATTTCGTCTTCTGCTTTCACCAATTCTTGGAGAAAACATTTGGCCTTCTCAAAAGTAGACCATGGATGGACACTGGTGTTCTTCTTGACTTGAAAGGACTCTCTCCACTCTTGCATTGTTTGAGGAAATGTAGCTTTCAACTTCACAATTTCTTGGGCTTGCGCGTCGCGAAACAGATGAAGGTGGTCGGTCAGTGTAGACAGAGAACTCATCATTGCAGATTCATGCTCCGGATCAGCTAAATCGTCCAAACGGTGTGACATTAGTTTGTAGAGTATTTGTCTTGCAAAAGTCGCATCTCTTTTAATAAACAAAGGCATTTCACATGTGGGAGCATTGGGCGTCGAGTTGCATATTGGTGACTCGGGCAGTGATTCAAGAAAAGATTGAGCCTCTATGTACACACACTGTATAGGATCAACATCAACAGAAGAATCGGAATCCTGATGATCAAAGACAAAACATTTTTGTTTTTTTAAAACTAATGTACAAATCAGAAAAAGAGCCCCGGACAATGTCATGCAAAGATTAAACATACATTATCTTTGGAAGGTGGAGAAACATAAACTTCAGCTTCAATCAAACACGTGTCTTCTACAAGATAACCTTCCCTTTTATCATGAAGTTTACCAAGCTCGATAAATCTTGACGAGCCCCAACCAACTCCAGAATGGAAAGTTTTTTCGGGCTCTGCGTTATGCACAAAAATAGAATACTAGTGTAACACTAAGCATCTAGTGATGATGTCTAGGCAATGATCTGAAATTTAAATGTCATTGAACTAGCAGTTCTAGAGAAGTACCTCTCTTGATCGTTTTGCTGGGGTCTATCTGGTTAATGATAGATAAACTATACTTTGTGGGTATACTCCATTCTGCTGGTAAGCTATATGAATTGGCAACGCAAAGGAACAGAGACAAATGTTGATCTGCATCCCTTCCTTTAGGATAAAGGCGCAACATCCTGCAGAATCATCAAAAAGGGAAAACTTATATCGAAAAAACATAATAATTTGCTAACAAATATTTGCCAGACTCGGTTGAGGGCATACAATTTGTTCTCATTTACAACAAAGGGGAGAGACTCAAGCTTTTCAGCTTCCAACTGCGAAAAGTTTTCAATCCTCCATGTGAATTTCGACAACAGATTATCCATTGAAACTTCTTACTCTCTGAAGCTTTGATGCACTCCTTCACTCACCATAACCCATTCAAAATAAAAAGTTATGAGGTAAGTAATAGTCAAAATTGATGTGTGAGTATGAAAAAACAAATGCTAAACGCTAACAGTTGTGTCATCCAAACAAGTTCAACAAAGCAGATACACACCCCGCTCTTACCAGAAACCAAATCCGGTGGTGGACTGGAGGAATGAATGGGGAAGCCGGAGGAGGAGGACTGGTAATTAATCTTTTCAATTACTACTCCGAAATTATTAATTAAGAGCAGCAAACAATGCTATGATCATTCCAACCGTCTCTTCAGTTCTCTCTTGCCCAATTTTGAAGTTTGAAAACACCATTCCCCATTTTCTATGGAGTCGTCGTTTTTTTAATGCTAAAATCACAAACTTAAACACCAAAACAAACTTATACCCCTCCTCCTCGTACATATTCTCATTAACTTTTTTAATATTTAAAATATAAAAGCTACCTATTTTCACTTATTTTATTTATTACACTTTACACTACTCAATTAACACACTCTACCCATCTTTACTAAAATAGTGTTTGAGAACTAGAATTCATTTGAAATCTTAAATTTCAATTCCAACATTTGAAATTCTATAATTTCAAATTCAAAATGTTGTTTGGGAAGTCATAGTATTTCAATTCTTGAATTTGAATTTTGAAGTCGGAAAAGAAGGTAACGGAAGCGGGTCTATATGTATGAAATTGTTATTATATAAGAAAAAATCACTCTTTAATTTCAAGTTTTAAATTAAAGAAAAATTAAACTTGAATTTGTAAATGACATGAGGAGGGGTGTGGATTTGTAGTTGAGTGAGTTGTGAATTAATGGTATGTTTGGGAACATGGATTTGGATTTTAAATCCGGATTTGACTTAAATTTCATGTTTGGGAAACTTAAGCATTTTGAATTTGGATTTGAATCAAATTCTTTACATTCAAAACAAAGCTTAATTTGAAATTCATGCACCTCCTCTAGTCATTTGAAATTCAGGATTTCAAATTTTGGAATTGAAATGCATGAATTGAAATGAAATGCTAGTTGCCAAACACTACCTAGAAGAATTTGGTTGAAATTCAAATTCTTTGAGTTCCCAAACAAGTAATTTTGATCAAATTTTGATTTGAATTCCAAATTCAAGTTTCCAAACACACCAGGATATTTTGATAAAATTTTACTTTTTTCTACTTTTCTTAAAAACCACAAAACATCAAAACAAGAAGATCTTAGAAGGACAGATGGAGTATGACCTAGTAACACATTATTTTAGTCAATTGGGAATGCACTTTAGATAATTAAATCTGTGATACAATTTTTGGTGGGCCAATCATAGCGCAGGGACACACATCAGTTCGTGCACATTTGTGCGATTAGTGCAACACACAAATTCATGAGAATTCTATTCTAAAAGAAATTAACAATAAGATAAGAGACTATTAATTAGAGTTACATGTGGGACTTCTATTTGTTTTTTTATGATGCGAAAAATCCTTTCGATATTTCATTATTTCGTTCCAAAATTTGAAACTTGTAACAACTTTAAACATTTAAAAGGTAAATGAGATATATACCTTTCCAATATTTTTCCTATGTACACTACTTTATGATTTATATGCTCTGAGTATGTGTAATAAAAATAAATGTACGCTTTTGAATAACTTCGTTGCTAAAAGAACTTTTTCCCCAGATAAACTTGTAATCCATGAAAACATGTTTTCTATACAAATATTCATAGTATGAACGTCACAAATATAGTGTTTATACATTTACAAATTGTATAGTGCTCATCGGATGCACATGAAAGTGAACATGTTCGGATGTACAATATAAATTACTCAAAATTGGGATTTATTAGAGCAAATTATCATTCTTTTATGTTGAAAGTGAACATGTTTGGTACTTTGATAATGTTTCATTACTTTTAGATCCTGATTTTCTATTTCTGAGGCAAAAGGAATACTAAAAAACTAACTACATTTTAGATGCTATATTTAAAGTAAATTAAATATTAACAGTTACAAATCCTAATTCTTGTATGTGCATCTTTAATAGATATCATACAAACAACATTTGTTTTTGAGAACAGAGAACCTAATTTGATTATACTAAAAGGCTTGTTGATCATAAATGGAGGAATCAACATTCAATGGGTCAAGTGAATTTATAACAAATTTAGACAAAAATTAGAGGATTCAATGTTTACAAGTTAGGCTAAATTCTCAACAAGAGAAACAGCTAAAGAGACAAAAAGCAATTAGTCTTGAGACAACATCACCAAAAAACATTAACAGAATGCCTCCAGATTAGATAAAGACCAGATAAAATAGTAATAATACCATCAAAAAGCATGATATATTGGGAGTTGAGTGTTATTGACCATCCGTTTTCTTCTTTCTCAGGCAAAAAGATGTCTCATTGCAGCCCACTTTGACTTCAACCTTTGCTCCAGTTGTTGGTTTGCACAACCCACCTCCAGCTTTTTATCTTCAATTTTCCTAGCTTTCTCCTTGGCAAGAGAACAAACTATCTTCATTTGCTTTGGGATTTCCTCTCTTTCCATTTTGAGCTGTAGACTATCGCTTTCCATTGCCTCTAGCCGAGCTTCCAATTCCTTTTCTTTCTTGATAAGCTCCTCCAATTCAATCTTTATTCCCTCTTCTATTTTCACAGATTCTTGGAGCAGATCTTTGGTCTTCTCAAAAGTAGACCAGGGATGCCCACTGGTGTCCTTCTTGATGTGAACAGAGTCTCTCGATTCTAGCATTCTTTGAGGAAAATTGGCTTTCAACTTCACAATTTCTTTCGCCTGTGGATCACTAAACAGATAAAGGTGGTCTGTCCGTTTAGATAGAGAACCCATCACTGTAGTTTCATGCTTTAGATCAGCTGATTTATCTAAATGGTATGGCACGAGTTTGTCGAGGATTTTTATTGCAAAAGCTGCATTTCTTTTGATAAACCAGTGCATTTCACACGTGGGAGTATTGGACGCCGGACTGTAATTGGATTCAAGAAATGAAAGAGCCTCAATGTACACGCACTCTATAGGATCCTTGGCAATGGAAGAATCTGAATCCTGATGATCACAGACAAAATGGTTTATTTTTTACTCCGTAATAAATAAAATCATACACAAATCATAAAAGAACCCAGGACAACAACAACAACAACCCAGGTGAATCCCACAACAGTAGGGTCTGGGGAGGGTGTGTGTATGCAGACCTTGCCCCCACTCGGAAGTAGGGAGGCTGTTAAAAGAACCCAGGACAATGGCACGCAAAGATCAAACTTACTATATCTTTGGAATCTGGAGAAACATCCACCTCAGCTTCAATCAAACATGCGTCTTCCACAAGATAGCCTTCACTTTTATCATGAAATTTACCAAGCTCCACAAATGATGGCCAACCTAGACTACTTTTACCAGATTTGAAAGTGTATTCACACTCTGCATAATGCCAAAAAAATATATTAATAGCATAACACTAAACACAGAGTGATAATGACTAGGCTATGATATGGAATTTAGGATCCCAAACATAATACGGTGTATAAACTAAGTGCTGCCAAGAAATAAAGGAGCCCAAAATGTTGATGTCATTGTACCACTAATTATAGAGAAGTACCTCTCTTGATGGTTTTGTTGGAGTCAAACTGGTTAACAAGAGATACAATGAACTTTCTTGGTAAGGTACATGGATAGCCAACGTTGAAGTACAGAGACAAGTGTTGGTTTGTATGGGATCCTTTCGGATAAAGACGCAACCTCCTGCATAGATTAAGAAAAGAGGGGGAAAACTCATCTTGATAGAATAATAATTCTTCGCTTAATCAAATAATAATATACGGAGCGTCTCGGCTAAATGATGTCCAATTGGAGGCATACCATTTGTTCTCATTTACAACAAAGGTGAGAGAGTAAAGATCTTCTGCATCCAAGCGAGAGAAGTTTTCGATCCTCCATGTAAACTTTGACATCTCAGATTATGTTTTGGGTTTTGCCCACTCTCTGAGACCTTCTTGATATGTTCATTGATTCAGCATAACCCAATCAAAATAGAAAGTTATGATAGAAAACATCTTATCAGTACGGTCTTTAACAATTAACACCCATGAACTCTAACACTCCCATATCTCACCCCAAAAAATCAAACAATCCCATATCAGACCAGACAGGATTTCACATTAGAATAAACCAAGAAATACTGATTGATGATCACTAAAACACACAAAGACCCTATTTTTAAGAGCATTTTTTTGGTTAGAGGTCATTGGCATTTAGCATTTTCCTGATTTTATACCTATAGAATGATAGTGTCAACATGCTAAATTATGAAAACCTCAATGAAAAACAGCTAACTATTAGACAAAATTGATCTGTTAATATAAAGCAACAACGCTAAATTCTAACAGTTGTCACCCAAACAAGGCCAATAAAGTAGCTACATTGAGTCAGCGATTTACCAGAAACGAAATCCGGTGGAGGAACGGGGACGCCGGAGGGGGACGGAGACTTTAATCACTCTGTAATTACTACGGCGTAGTCATTAATAGCAACTGAGAACCTCTTTAATTACACCGTATTTACGAACTGCGGATTTGAGTTCTGGTCGTTCCATCTTGTCTTTTCGGTTCTCTCTTCTCTCTTGCCGTTTTTGAACAAACTACTTCCCAGTTCCCCATTTCCCCAAGTAACATTAGGCAACCGTTTGGTGGTTTCAAATAAGATCCAGATCAGATCAGATTCAATCAGATCATATCAGATTGGATTAGATCAGATCAGATCCAATCTGATCAGATTAGGACTTATTAAAATCAGATCCCATCAAGAATTTTTATTATTATTATTATTATTACCATTATTATTATTATTATTATTATTATTATCATCATCATCATCATCATCATCATCATCATCATCATCATCATCATCATCATCATCATCATCATCATCATCATCATCATCATCATCATCATCATCATCATCATCATCATCATCATCATTATTATTATTATTATTATTGTTCTTAAAAATGAAAAAGAATAAACTTTAGAAATAGGTTAAATAGAAAACTGAAAAAGTAATCCTTAATTATTAGACGTCGGAAAAATTAGTTTTAAAATACATTGACAATGTCAATCTAATTCTACTTTTAAAATATATTTTTATTGTTACTTGCAATTTGAGTTTCTAAACTTTTGATCTTTTATAAGGATGAGATATTTTAATAAAAATACTATCTCTTCTATATATTGATTATCTAAATTTAATTATTTTTTAATGTATATCTAAATTAAATATTTATTCTAATGTATAATTCTAATTTTACAAAAAAAATAATCATAAAATAAAAATATTACTCCCTCCGTTCCAGAGTATTTGTCCACTTTCATTTTTACACACCATCCAATACACTTCTTTAATCTATTTTATCTTGTAACTTGTATATTAAAAAATTATAAAAATTATATATTAATAATCTATATGTTAAGACAAATCAAACAAGATCACACATGACTATATTCAGGCGTACACATTGAGAGAATTTGATGAGTCAAAGTGCTTAGATGAACAGTTCCAAAAATCAAAAGTGGACTAATATCAATAATTTAGTCCTCAGTTATTATATTCATTTTCATGAATAATCCGTTTTTCACATTTGTGTTAAGAACATGGATAAAATTGTAAATTCACACTTCTTTCTCTTCTCAATTAAGCTTCTTCCCTCCCATCGAACTCCTTTCCCAAACACGTCGCTGAGTTTGAAGCTTTGAACCCAAAACTAAAATCATCACTCTTCTCTCAATTGTTTGTCTAACTGGTGAAACCCAAATTCGAAACCAGTAGCCTTCATTGATGAGTTTTAATTTTTATTCTCTGTACAATTTCTTGAGACTAACTGATAAAACTTATCCATAAAGTTTATTGGTTTTGATTTTAGGTTCCACCAGGAAGACTAACAATTGAAAAAAAAGTGATCTAAGTTTAGAGCTTCAAACTCAGCGACGAGTTTGGAAGAGAGTAGGAGAGGATGAAGGAAGCTTAAAATTGTATGAATATACAATTTTATCCATGTTTTTAACAAAGACGTTAACAAAGGACCATTCATGAAAAATGATATAATAATTGGAGACTAAATTAGTGATATTTAATATGTAAGGACTAAGGCTCCGTTCCGTTCAACTTATTTTTTCTGATCTGATCTGATTTTAATAAGTTCTGATCTGATCTGATCTGGTCTGGTCTTATCTGATCCGATTGGATCTGATCTGATCTGATCTGACCTACTGGGGACTTTTTATAAAATTTACTCCTTTTTTATGAGAAAAAAGGACTCAACTCGGTGTAAAAATTACTCATATACGGAGTATATAAAAGTAGACGTTTTTTGCCAATTGCATTTGACGTTTTTTCTTGCCTTGTGGTTGGCAAGCCCAATAGACCACGAGTTAAAACCCACACCGGACATGCTCCGATACCACATACCACGATAAAAGTCTAGTAGGCCAATTATAGTGTGTGGAAACACACGCATGTAGGCCAATACACTATTCATTTGTCTATTTTGATTTGACATAAAGTTTGCATCGAGTCATGCACTAATATTACTACGCATGTGGTTCTGTAATACCCCGTATTAAGATGGGAATGAGAAGAGCTCAAAAGGATTGATAGTACTACTCATACCAACAAGGTGTATCTTCTTTTCGAGAGCTCATCACTTAGAAACTCCAAAGTTAAGCGTGCTTGACCTTGAGCAATTCTAGGATGGGTGACCCTCTCGAAAGTTTTCCTTGGACGCGCACGAGTGAGGACAAAGTGTGCGGGAAAAACTTGTGTCGGTTTGTGGGGCCAGCCTACAATCCTATGAGCGAACACTTACGGCCAGGGTGGGGGCGGGGGTGTTACAAATGGTATCAGAGCAGCCCTGCGACTGTGACGGGCCAGGAGAGCTTAGTTCACCTAGCGGGGAAGATCTAAGGGTTTAAAAAAAGGATGCAACAAGGACGTTGCATTCCTAAGTGTGGGTGAATGTAATACCCCGTATTAAGATGAGAATGGGAAGAACTCAAAAGGATTGATAGTACTACTCATACCAACAAGGTGCATCTTCTTTTCGAGAGCTCATCACTTAAAAACTCCAAAGTTAAGCGTGCTTGACCTAGAGCAATTCCCTCTAGGAAGTTTTCCTTGGGCACGCACGAGTGAGGACAAAGTATGCAGGAAAGACTTGTGTTGGTTTGTGGGACTAGTCTACAATCCTATGAGCGAACACTTACGGCTAGGGTGGGGGCCGGGGTGTTACATGTTCCATATCTATACACTACTCATTTATTTATTTTGATTTGATATAAAATTTGCATCGAGTCACACACCAACTTTACTATGCACGCGTTCCATATCAATACACTACCCATTTATTTATTTTGATTTGACATAAAATTTGTATTAAGTTACGCACCAACTTTACTACGCATGCGGTTCCATAACAATACACCATCTATTTATTTATTTTGATTTGACATAAAATTTGTGTCAAACCACACATTAATGTTACTATGCACGCGGATCCATATCAATACACTACCCATTTATTTATTTTGATTTGACATAAAGTTTGCATTAAGTCACTTAGTCACGCACAACCTTTACAACGTACGCGGTTTCATATCAATACACTATCCATCAATTAGGCCCAATTCGGCATGCTCAAACTCAATTGGACAGTCCATTAATTTAGGCGGGAACACTATTCAAAAAATAATCCTAGCTTTGTATACAGTTAGATTTTCAGAGATGGTGATTGTTGATTTATAAAGTAATATGCTTTTAGAATACCGAAGCAAAACCGTCATTACCCGAAGGATAATTAATAACACAAAACTCCATAAAGTTACCTTCCCGAATTGACAGACCCATTTGAATATTTCAAAAAAATCATTTGTAAACAGATTTCTTGTTTGAGTGCACATTTTTAATTTGAACGCCTTAAAAAATAACTTGAATCATCAGAATTTAAACAAAGTTTACATACATCATCGTCATGAAAGACAACCTCCATTGATTTAACATTTTTTTTCCAAAAGGCTGAACGTGATAGACACGAATAGCTCGTACGTGGATAGCAATGTTGTTGTGGTCCTTTTCGAGCTCACCAAGATTGGTAAAAAGATCAGGAGAAACACACTTGGGAGCCATATTGGAAAGATGAAATTTTCAAAAGCCTTAATGGGGGGGGGGATGAATTAAAGGTATTGGACACATGTCATCAAAATACATGTCCCAACACACGCTTTAAATGCCTTCACGGCCCACGGGTACCAAGGATCCATTAACCCAACCAAAAACTTTTTACCCAATTGGATTAATTTTCTTCTTTGTCCAATCTGATACCAAACTTAATGCTCAAACCGTGCCTTTAGGTGGTAAGTTAGCACTATTCATGTTTTCACTTTAGCTTTCTATATTAGAAGATATTTGTAGACACATAAATGATGGAATATAAAAATCCGTTATATCAAAAAAAGCTATCTTAAAATAAACCCAATTATGTTAAATTTACATTATACACCCTATTGAAAAATCCAAAAGAAAACCCAAAGGGAAGGAAACCGCACTCTTGAAAAAGAAAAAAGAAGGGAAATGAAAAGCTATTAAAACTTAAAAGAGACGAGGGGAGAAGGGATGATACATCCTGATTCTGCGATTCAGCTTCTCTCTGCTATCACGGCTTGTTCGGAGATTTTACTCCTTAGTTTTCAACTTGTTACTCCTCTAGCAGGTCAGCTTCCCCTCCACTTAATCCGTTTTATTAATTGAAATCTGCGAGTTCATATATGCTAGGATATTAATTATTGTGTTTTGTTTAATGGTTTGATTGTTTTGTTTTAATTCTGGTTATTTCATTTGTTGGTTGGTTATTCTTATTCTGAATGAAGAAGGACCGTGTACGAGCAACTAAGCAAAGCCAAATTAAGGATAGTCTGAGATGTCGAAATTCACATGGAGGATTGAAAATTTCTCCCAATTGGATGCTAAAAAGCTTTACTCTCTCACTTTTCTCGTTAATCAGAACAAATGGTATGCCCCCAATCACAAATCTCCCCACAAATGGGATGCAAATTCTTTATGTGTGACAATGGCAGATTTCCTTTTTTTTTTTTTGTTTTGCTTATAATGCAGGAGGGTGCTCCTTTGTCCAAAAGGGAACAACACAGATCACTTGTCTCTGTACCTGGATGTGCCCGATTCGTACAGCTTACCAGCAGACTGGAGTGTACCAACAAAGTTCAGTATATCTCTTATTAATCAGATAGACTGCAACGGAACCATCACGAAAGGTGTTTCTGTGGATGGCATTCATATTTTGTGTTCCCTTGTTCATTTGTTGTTCTTAATTTACATGCTGTCCATTGCTATGTTTTGGGATCCATAATTTCTTTTCACTTTTGGCTCTTTATCGCTCAGTGTTTTTGTATTTTATATGGCAACACACTACTTTTGTGTGTTATGCAGAGACCGACCACACTTTCAATTCTAAAGAAAGTGATTGGGGCTTTACTTCCTTCGTCCCTCTTAGTGAATTTCATGACAAAAGTGGAGGCTTTCTTGTTGAAGACATTTGCTTGATTGAAGCGGAAGTTTATGTTTCACAAGCTTCCTCAGATAAAGTAATACAGCTTGATATTGCTTGTTATTGGCTTAGCTAGTTTATACAGAGTGGTCTGTTTTGTACATGATTTTGAAAACATTCTCTCTGTGATCATCAGGATTTGAGTGCTTCTCTTGCTATTAATACTGTGGATTCTGTGTACATCGAGGCTCAATCGTTTCTTGAATCATTGCACAAGGCACCAATCACGGGTGTATCTAATGCTACATGTGAAATGCCTATGTTTGAAGGGCATTCAACTTTTGCAAAAGAAATCTTTGACAAACTCATATCATACCGTTTGGAGGATTTAGCTGAACCCAAGCATGAAACTGCAATGATGGATTCTTTGTGTAAACTGACCAACCACCTTCATCTGTTTAGCGATGTGCAAGCTAAACAGATTGTAAACTTGAAAGCTACGTTTCCTCAAATAATGCAGGAATGGAGAGACTCGGTTCAAGTCAAGAGCCCTGGTGGGCACCCCTGGTCTACTCTTGAGAAAACCAAAAGCTTGCTCCAAGATCTAGTGAAAACGGAAGAGGGAATACAGACAAAGCTGAAGGATCTAAATAACACAGAAAAGGAATTGGAAGCTCAGCTGGAAGCAATCAAAAGCAATAGTCGACAACTCCAGGAGGAAAGAGAGGACGTATCTAAGCAGACAAAGATAGTGTGTTCTCTTGCTAAAGACCAGGCTAGCAGAGTTCAAGCAAAAGAGGCAGAAATAGACCGCGCCAACAAAACACTTGAGCAAAGATTGAAGTCAGAGTGGGCTGCAACCAGACATCTCTTTGCTTGAGAAAAATTGGGATGGTCTATGGCCTTTGACAGCACTCCCTCCCACTCCACCCCACATATCTCTTTTAGCTATATCATATCATGTGTAGGGTTTTACCTCATTTGAATAATGGTTAAGACTTGGTGTTTTTTGTTAGACAAAGACTTCTCATTGGCATCAACTTTTTGTTATGAATGTTTTTTTTATGAAGTGCTTGCACTTTTCATTCGCATTAAAAAAACGTACTCCGCAGTAGAGTTTTAAGGCAGGCTTATCTCTCTCCTCTTTCTAAAAAAAATTATTCAAGTTTGTTTTTACATGAAATAAAAAGTTATTCATGTTGCTGGTGAGCTACATGAAACGTCCGGGGAAAGGTACAGAGACAAGTGTTGATCTGTGTTCTTTCCTTTCGGGTAAAGACACAACCTCCTACAAAATCAATAAAGAAATTAAAAAAAAACATGCAGAGAAACACCTTAACTGAAAAACAACAGCACAATCTCAACAAGAGAAACACCTAAACTGACAAGAAACAGTTAGTCTTGGGGCACTAGCTCCAAAAAACAACAGCTCATAAGGTATATATGGCCTTCAAATTAGATAAAGACTAGATAAAACTTAAAAGAGTAATAAGACAATAAAAAACATGATATATCTGGGTTTGGGTGTTATTGACCATCACAATTTTTTTCTTTCCACAAAGAGATGCCTCATTGCAGCCCACTTTGACTTCAATCTCTGCTCCATATTTTGGTTTGCACAATCCACTTCCACCTTTTTAACTTCAATTTTGCAAGCCTTCTTCCCAAGAGAAGAGACTATCATTATTTGCTTTGATATCTCCTCCATTTCCTCTTTGAGTTGTTGACTACTGCTTTCAAATGCTTCCAGCTGAGCTTTCAATTCTGTTTGTTTCTTGTTTAGATCCTTTTTGTTTCTTTTAATGACTCGAATGCCTAAACATTCTCTCTATAGTGGTTTGGTCTCTCCCCTCTTACCAAAGCCAACAACAGCAACAGAATATTGCGCGTAATTCTTGTAAAATGATAATTACCCGGAGTATTTTTTTAAATAATTGCTAACTCGTAAACCAGTTTTTATTTCATTACATTGGAACATCTTGGCACTTCGATAATTTTGAGATAAAGACTAAATAAAAGAGTAAAACGTAGTAATACTATCAAAAAGCATGATACATGGGAAACTTGGGTGTTATTTACCGTTCCATTTCTTCTTTCTCAGGCAAAAAGATGTCTCATTTCAACCCACTCTAACTGCAATCTCTGCTCCAGTTGTTGGTTTACACAATATGCCTCCACCTTTCTAACTCCAATTTTGGTAGCCTTCTCCTTGGCAAGAGAACAAAGAATCATCATTTGCTTTGATATTTCCTCTCTTTCCTCTTTGAGTTTTCGACTATTGCTTTCGAGTGCCACCACCTGAGCTTCCAAATCTGTTTCTTGCTTGTTTAGCTCTCCCAGTTCAATCTTTATTCCCTCTTCCGTTTTCAAAGATTCTTGGAGCAAACTTTTGGCCTTCTCAAAAGTAGACCATGGATGCTCACTAGTGTCCTTAGCTTGAACTAAGTCTCTCCATTCTTGCATTGTTCCAGGAAAAGTAGCTTTCAACTTCACAATTTCTTTCACTTGTCCATCACTAAACAGATAAAGATGGTCGGTGAGTGTAGACAGAGAATCCATCACTGCCGNTTCCAAATCTGTTTCTTGCTTGTTTAGCTCTCCCAGTTCAATCTTTATTCCCTCTTCCGTTTTCAAAGATTCTTGGAGCAAACTTTTGGCCTTCTCAAAAGTAGACCATGGATGCTCACTAGTGTCCTTAGCTTGAACTAAGTCTCTCCATTCTTGCATTGTTCCAGGAAAAGTAGCTTTCAACTTCACAATTTCTTTCACTTGTCCATCACTAAACAGATAAAGATGGTCGGTGAGTGTAGACAGAGAATCCATCACTGCCGTTTCATGCTTTGAATCAACTAAATCATCCATATTGTATGACATTAGTCTGTCAAGGATTTGTTTCACAAAAGTTTCATGTCTGTTGATAAAAAAAGGCATTTCACATGTGGGAGCCTTAGATACCAGGCTGCATGGTGCCTTGACCAGTGACTCAAGAAAAGATTGAGCCTCAATGTATACACACTCTATAGGATCAATAGCAACGGAAGAATCTGAATCCTGTTGATCACAGACAAAATGATTCCTTTTTAAACAGAATCATATACAAATCATAAGACGAGCGAGGTCAATGTCATGCATGATCAAACATACTATATCTTTGGAAGCTGCAGAAATATCAACTTCAGCTTCAATCAAACATGTGTCTTCAACAAGATAGCCTTCACTTTTATCATGAAGTTTACTAAGCTCCATAAATGATGGCCAACCCCAACCATTTTTACCAGATTTGAAAGTGTGTTCAAGCTCTGCGCAGCGTGCAAAAATAAAATACTAGTGTAATACTAAACATTGAGTGAAAATGACTAGGCATTGATCGGAAAATTAAGATCACAAAACATAATAAGGTGTATAAACTAATTAAGAGCTGCCAACAAAAGAAGGAGCACACGATGTGAATGTTATTGTACTTCTAGTTCTAGAGAAGTGTACCTTTCTTGACGGTTTTGTTGGGGTCTATCTGGTTAACAATAGATATTCTGAACTTTGTGGGTATACTCCATTCTGCTGGCAAGCTATATGAATCAGCCACACGAAGGTACATAGACAAATGTTGATCTTTCTTGGATCCTTTTGGATAAAGAAGCAATCTCCTGTGTTATAAAAAAGGGATAACTAATCTTGATAGAATAATAATTCACTTAATCAAATACAGAGTAATAATTTATAGAGTATTTTGCTATATGATGGCATACCATTTGTTCTCATTCACAACAAATGTGAGAGAGTAAAGATCTTTAGCTTCCAATAGCGAGAAATTTTCAATTCTCCACGTAAATTTTGTCATCAGATTATCCATTGAAATTTTGTAGTCTTTGAAGCTCTGATATGTTGTTCCTTCAATCAGCACACATCAACCATATTAAAAGTTACGAAACAAAATATCTAATCAGATTTAACACCGATGCGCTACTTCCACAATTCTAGTGCTCTCATATAGTCATATCTCACCTAACAAAATCAAGCAGTTTCATATCAAACCAAAACGAATTTCACAATTTTAGCATTTTGGAGAAAAAGAGCATGTTGGAAAATATTTGTAGACATCATTTTCGAACAACCTGTCAAAAATGCAGTATTCTCACACCAGAGGTCATTGGCAGGGATTTAGCATTTTCCTCATTTTACACCTAGAAATTGAGAGTGTTTGTTGGGAAAAGCAAATCATTCCCACACCAGAAAGAAAAAGATACCAAAATGAATATGCTCAAGTCAACCCAATAATATGATTTTCCTTTTAAGAGGTGCCTAAAAACAAATCCGTGTAAATTACCAACAATGTCAACATGCTAAATTACCAAAACCTGTGAGTATTAAAAACCGGCAAGTCATAGTCAAAATTGATGTGTGAGTATGAAATAACAAATGCTAACAGTTGTGTCATTGAAACAAGGCCAATAAAGCAGATACACACCACTGGTTCAGTGAGATTTACCAGAAACAAAAACCGGTGGTGGACTGGACGAATGAATGGAGAAGCTGGATCTCCGTGATAAATAGCAGTGATGGAGATCTCGCCTCTCATTTTCCCGCCCATTTCGAAATGGTGTTGAGCTTCAGATCATTCATTTCATCTGGTCTCTTCAGTTCCCTCTTGCGGATTTTGAAATTTGGGAACTAGAATTTAGATTTCAAATTAAGTTTTGAACTAAATTCAAATTCAAAATTTTTAAGTTTTTTCATGCATAAAATTTGAGCTAGTTCTGAATTTAAATTCAGATACATGTTTCCAAACATATCATAACTTTAATTTTTAAAATTAATTATTTTTGAATAATTCTTTTTTTTAAATTAATATTTCATCTAATCTAATACGATTTGATCTGATTTTATTAGAGTTTGATTTGATTTAATCTGAAACAAATAAGAATAAGTTAAAACAAACTCGTACTATGTATTTAAAAAAACACTCCGGATGTGAAGAAAAAACAATTAGAGTAAATTCCCAAAATAGTCTTTTGTAAGTGTTTTCCCAAATTAGTCCTCAATAAGTTTTAATTACCTACGTGGTCCTCTATAATTGAGATTTATTCCCAAAATAGTCCTTTGTAATAAGGTGTTTTCCCAAATCAGTCATCAATAAGTTTTAATTACCTATGTGGTCCTCTATAATTGAGATTTATTCCCAAGATGGTCCTTTGTAAATAATGTTACTCAAATGAGAATTAATAGAGGGTATTTTTTCTAATTAAAGATGTGTATTTGATTTAAAATTTAAAAGATTTTTTTAAGTTTTATAAATGTATTTGGTTTATCTCTATGTAATAAGGTGTTATCCCAAATTAGTCCTCAAATGAGGATTAATTGGAAGATATTTTGGTATTTTGATCATCCAAATTTAAAGTATATTCTCGAAACAATCATTTCTGTACAACTAAATATAAAATTTAAAAAATACATTGACTATAAATAATTTATGAATTATTTAAAACTTAAAAAAATCTTTTAAATTTCAAATCAAATACACATCTTTAATTAGAAAAACCATTTTGGGAAAGCACTTCATTATAAATGATTATTTTAAGAATTAATTCTAAATTTAGCGGATAAAAAATACCCTCAATTAATCCTCATTTGAGTAAATTATTTACGAAGGACTATCTTGGGAATAAATCTCAATTACAAAGGACCACGTAGATAATTAAAACTTATTGAAGACTGATTTGGAAAAATACCTTATTACAAAGGACTATTTCGGGAATAAATCTCAATTATAGCCATGTTTTGTTCTCCACTGTAAAACCATCAAGGACAATTGGACTTTTCGTATGTTCTCCACCTTACTTGTATACCGACATGTCCTGTTCCCCCTTCCGTGCCTTTTCAGCAGGCCTTCATTCAAAAATTCCCTCACCTTTTGTATTTCCTCCTCCGCAGGCATCTCCTTTGGATCTTCTGAAAAGGGCCCATGGCATACTGCTGACCTATCACGGTCCAGATGTTGCTTAGCACGCTCCATCCTCTCCAGCTTCCGTTTTTTCTTATCATGCTCGACCTCTCTGGGAGTATATCTCTCAGGATTCTTGTGAACCCTTTTAGGCCTTTCAATCTCAACACATGCAGTATTCGAATCTGAAGCCGTGGAAAACACCTGAACAAACAATAAAACCTCACCCGTATCAGGGAAAAAAAACAGCTGATAGGACACTACATACTGCCAGAACAATAATCGCCCAATTAATGAAATTCATCATCCTAAATAGACAAGTAAATCTTCCCATTGTAAATATTGCAAAAAAACTAACCACCAAAGCATCCTGAGCACCCTTCACTCTTTGCTCCCCACTTCTCACCCGGCTGCTAGTAGAAATTCTGTCAAAATCATCGTCATCCAAGCTACGCCTACGTTTGCCTCCATCGATGTGCTGCCCAAGTTTCCCTTTGTTCGAACTACTCGACCCATGTAAACATACAACGTCACATATAAAATCACACGAATGGAAAATGAAATTGACCCTAAAACATCTGGGAAAAAACTACATCACTGGAAAGAGTAATTATTAGTCCCTTTCCAAATACAGGAACACACAAAAAACTAACCCCAAATGTAGACTCAACATCCACCGGTACATGCACATCATTTGGCAATGTAATGTTTCCAGATTTCTTGTCAGGCTCATCACCACTCACACTTCTCTTGCACCCACCCTCATTCGCATCCTGCCCAACTACCCCTTCGCAAGAAACCAGAGGAACCTGCCAGTCCACACAATTATAAGGCCAAAATCATTATATCAAATTAAATAATCCCTTGGCGTACACATAAAAAAAATATGTCTGAAATTAACACATTACACTTTTTGCATTCTGTAAAGAATTTAAGAACATTTCGGTTTGCCTGTCAATAAGCTCCAGGTCACGTGGATCATATTGTGTCTCAGTGTATGGAATCTCTAGACACTTCCTCGCTTTAACAGTTTCACACGCTTCTGTCCCTGAAACATTGCCACTCTTGTCGTTTGGTAGTTCAGCACCAACTGCATCCACTCTAGGCAATGGAGTTAGAAGATCAAACGAAGGTCCCCCATCGTCACAACTCAAATCCAAATCAACCCCACATTTACCCCCAGCATCTGTATTTCCCTCACCAGTAATACCCTCCTTCCGGACCCTAGCTTCTTCATTACCTCCCATCAAAGACCCTTTCCCAGACGCTGAGCCGGCTTCAACAGACGCTGTTTTTTGCCGAAGAATGCCCAAGATTTCATCCAGTTTCTTGTCTTGCGCATCCTGTTTTTCCTTGATCTCCTTCACCATATCCAAGTGCTCACTATCTGTTTTTGCCACACACACCTTCTTCCCTTTACGCCCCACCACACCATGATCTTCTTTGACACTGCCCTTTCCACCCCTTTTAACCGCGGACCTCACCTCACTTCCAGATGCCTTGCCTTCAGTTTTAAGCCTACCAAACGCATCGCGTATATTCACCTGCCTTTCCTTAACCTTTCGAACACGCTTCGAATGGCTAAGTGATAACTTATTTCTGTCTTTCATTGCAGAGGTGGTTTTCCCCTTAAACAGCTCTTTCACACTGTCCAACAAGAACTCTGCATCCGTTGGCTCAACATCATTAACTAGAAGCTGCAATTGGAACAAAACATTATTAATAAACACCATTCAGTACAAATAAACAACAAAAAAAACGAACACTAAACATCTAACCTTCCCAGATTTGAAAAGTGCGTCGGATACTTTCGAAGAGTTAAACTTCGCGCAGACCTTCCATCGCAGACACCGGGGTATCGAATTCACCTGCTCAGGATCCAACACACACATCCCAGCCTCCGCCAGCGATGGAAATGTCTCAAACACCCAAACCTGTAATGCAAACATGTACCCTCCAAAGGTAGGCCGGGTGCTACCCCCCTTCTCAATACATAATGCACACCTATACACATGATCGACTAACTCCGACCACACGTCATCCCTCAAAGGTAGCTATTAAACTCTTCAAGGTCATCAACCAAACTCAAATAATGCATGGGCAAATTAACCGAAGGCTGGTTACCCAGAAACGCGTTTGCCAAAGCGTAAATCAACACCATCTTCACTGCGTCATTATGAGGGGTAAAAATCGTTTTTAATAGAAAAGGAGAAGGATTTTTGGGGGGCAGAAAAAATAAAGGGAAAAGAGTTTTTGGGATGGAGGGAGTATGAAATTTATCAAACGCGTTTCTGCTATATGACGCACTGAAGATGGCATTGATTTACGCTTTGGCAAACGTGTTTCTGGGTAACCAGCCTTCGATTAATTTGCCCATGCATTATTTGAGTTTGGTTGATGACCTTGAGGAGTTTAATAGCTACCCTTGGGGGGATGACGTGTGGTCGGAGTTAGTCGATCATGTGTATAGGTGTGCATTATGTATTGAGAATGGGGGTAGCACCCGGCCTACCTTTGGAGGGTACATGTTTGCATTACAGGTTTGGGCGTTTGAGACATTTCCATCGCTGGCGGAGGCTGGGATGTGTGTGTTGGATCCTGAGCGGGTGAATTCGATACCCCGGTGTCTGCGATGGAAGGTCTGCGCGAAGTTTAACTCTTCGAAAGTATCCGACGCACTTTTCAAATCTGGGAAGGTTAGATGTTTAGTGTTCGTTTTTTTTGTTGTTTATTTGTACTGAATGGTGTTTATTAATAATGTTTTGTTCCAATTGCAGCTTCTAGTTAATGATGTTGAGCCAACGGATGCAGAGTTCTTGTTGGACAGTGTGAAAGAGCTGTTTAAGGGGAAAACCACCTCT